GGCACGAAGGCACCAGATGTTGGAGGTGTGGCTGCCACCCAGGAGGACACACCTGATGGGGCTCTGGGAACAGGATGATGGTGGAGACGTCACATCCAGAATAACTTTGTTAGAAGACTGAACTTGACAGTCAGGAGTTGTACATTGCAGGTATCAAAAAGCCACCTAAAATTGCCTTAATAGAGGTGATCTAATGGCTCAGGAAACCACCAACTCTACGAAGACAGGATAACCTGAAAGTGGATTTGACCTGGCATTTTTCTGCCATTCTGTGCACGGCATCAGCTTCCTCCCAAGACTGGCACCACATAGGACATCGGGTGTTTGCCAGCCCAGTTGAAGCTGTCTGCTTCCTTGCTCACCACCAGCAGAAAGGTGAGGGCTATGCCCCGCATTCCAGGTGACGGAGGTTTACATGGGGACTCAGTCACACTTTCTGGGGACTGTACATTTCACAGAAGGAGCCAGGTTATACTAAAGGAGTCCTGGCCCAAGGATACCAGCACCCCATAGAGATGGAGAACTCCAGGGAGCTCAGGGGCTGAGGGGCTGAGTGACAATGAGCACTGCCCACAGAGGGGCGCCCTGCAGTCAGGAGGGGGTGGGAAACGGGTGCGGATCGGCAGCCGGCAGAGGCCCATCCAGGTGAGCACAGGTGGAGCTGATGGTGGATGGAGACGAAGAGTGTGCTGGTTGGGAGGGGAAGACGGTGGCCTGTAGCTGGTCTGGGAATTCCCAAGCTGAGCAAAGGGTTTGCCAAGGCCTGTGGTTGGGCTTGTTAACAAAAACACCAAACTCTTAAAAAATGATCTGTAAGAGGTATCTTCTGGCCAATGAGTGACCACAGTCTGGGGAATCTCGAGAGGTCCTGAAAACGTGTGCCGGGGCAGTCGTTTTCTACATTTGAGGGGACAGGAATTGGAGTAACATCATAAATCCATCCATGGAAGGTACACATTGACTCGGCCTAACAAGGTGGGATATCTTGAAGTCAGGGCATTATAGGTCATAGGTGGATTCAAAGATTTTCCGATTGGCATTTGGTTGAGAGTTCAGCTTTGTCTAAAGACATGAAGTTGGTACAAAGGAATGCTTCAGTTCAGAGAGAGCGTCTGCCTCTGCCATGTGATGCTGTCCCAGAGTCAGGTAGGAAAGTCAACCACAGCATCCTGGGTCAATTTAAAACCCATTGAAGGAGACTCTGTGGTTTCTAGGGTGTGTGTTAATTCTTGCTTTGCAAGGCCTCAGGTCTTGTTCATAATCTGTACCTGATTGTCAGAATCCATTCGGAATAATCTCACGATGCCTATTTTATACTCCAAAGGTGCAGGGCTCTCATGAGGCTTCTCTCACCTCCCCTTCCATCATGGCCAGGAATTCATTTTTTCAGTTTTCCCTGGGGTCCCCTTGACTAAGAGGGAGCCTGTTCCATTGGTTGGGGTCTCAGGATTGCAGGCCTTAGGGCAGCCTCACAGCACAGTGCAGGGGAGTTGGCTGGATTTTCCTGAACCCTAAACCCCATGGCTCATGGGGTAAGGGAGCTGTGGGCCACCCGGCTTCTGCTGAGATTCCTTTCCCTAGGTGCAGGTGCAGGTCCGGCCTTGGCCCTTTCTGTTCTTTTCAGAAGCCCACACAGTGGAGGACAGGACGGTTTGGGGTCAGGGACAGAGGCTCCTGTCACTGAGACTGTCCTCAGTGGGACAGAGGGAAGAGACTATTGTTGCAGTTCATCTGCCTCTCTGCAGCACTGATGTGTAGGCCCAGCAATTCAAGTCCACTCCTGGCAGCCAGCCTTGAACACAGAACTGATCAGCCACACAGAAAACCTGAAACAAAGCCTCTAAAGTGCAGCCTCTCAAAAACGCTCACCAGAGTTTTCTTAATCAGACTTAGTGTAGCCAGTGAGCTTCTGTTGCCTCCTGTGACGTGGGTGCTATTTCTCCCACTAAAAGCCCAAACCTCTGCCTCAGGAGACAGGGCTCAGCTGCAGCCTCCTCAACCAAATGTGAAGGGCTACTTCCTGGGCAACTCAGAGGCTCCTTAAATTCCCAATGGTGTGCAAATCTGTGGGCTCACTTTCTACATCAGATCTTCAAAGGTCTCTGTGATTCCGAAAGCTTGGGAACTGTTAAATTTGATCATTTCTGAAATGTCCTCCAGTTTAAAAGTCCTCAGTTCCAGTTCATTTTCAATTCCTGAATAAAGGGATGAGTCCTGGAGCTTCTGGAAGCTGGCCTGGAACTGAGCACTTGCTGCAGACAATGCCCAAAGCGCAAACCCAAAGGCGCGTGGATTTAGGCTGCAGGTCAAAGCTTCATATTCAGCTCTTACTGTGTGACAGTGAGACGTGACCAGGGAAGCCTACATGAGGGGTGGGGGCCAACCAGCAGCCCAGCCTGGGGAGCTGCCTTAACCACATCTCACTTTACTTTCTCAGAGCTAAATTTTTCTTGAAGGGAACTGCAGATTTATGCAAAATACTAAGCAAGCTGAGTGGCTGTTTTATTTTATTTTAAGCAGTAAGGAAAAACAGAAATTTTCACACCAAAGACCCTGTGTTAGTCTCAGAGGAACTGGTGTCGAGACTGAGGAATCACGGAACACCGCTCTCGGAAACTGTTAGGGCAACTGAAAAAAAAGAAAAAAAAGAGTAAAGACAATGAAGAGGCTTAATTCTCCCTGTTAAAAAAAAAGGGAAGCAGTGTCCTCTCTCCCTTAGAGCATTTTCTTTGGAAAACTTACTGTAAATCTTCCTCTGCCCCTTTGAGGGGCATGCAAAGCTTTCTGACAGCTAAATAAGCCTCTTGCCAGCTTTGCAACCCAGGACTGTGTTCCTGAAGGACCTGAGAGTCCATCTTTGAAACATCATCATCAGAGCAGCCAGGGCCCTATCGGCCAGTCTCTGTGGGACGGTGGGGGCCTAACATCTGCTGTGAGTGGTAAATCTACCTCCTGTCATGAAGGCAAGAGTTTATTTTCCTTTGTAACAAGGTAATTAGCAAACGCAGGTGGTCAGGTAAATTGAGGTTGAATCTCCGATGAAACGGGTGTGGCCAAAGGTGCTGTGCAGTCCACTGATCTGAGGACTAGGCATTACTCTTCTTGAGAAGGTGTGCAGTGAGCAATGGGTTGGACCCGCTGGCTAGACTGGCAATGAGATTTCTTTCTGTCTTTGCAGCATCTTAGCGGGTCATTGCCTGTGATGCGCATCTCACTCTGAGTTCACGCCTCTTCGATGATGAAAGTGTTTTCTTCCTCTTCTATCTCTGCAGAGATAGGCTTGCTGGGATAGATTGTTTGTAATTCTATTTCCCTACCACCACAGGACGAGCTTTGGGGGTCAGGCAGCTGGGAAGGAACCCATGCCTAGGCCTTTCACACTCTACATCCATCAGTAGCAGAACTTAAGAGTCTTCCTGGGACTCCATACTTCCTGGAAAGAGGAATTCATTCTTTTCATTGCTGACATTCCTGGGTGTGTGTGTGTGGCAGTTATACTTTCCCCATCCCATTCTGTACCTCCTTCCACTCCGGGGACCCCAAGAGGCCTGGCTCCGCTTGCCCAGTGCACCTCCGAAGAAGGGAGACTGGGAGATGAGGATCCTGCCAGGGGGCCAGGTGTTGGACAAGGTGAATGTGAATGTGGAGGAGAAAGACAGAGGCCTCCCAAGAACCTGATGGGGTCGGGGATGAGGTGAGGGTGCTCAGAAAAGTGCTGAGGCAGGCTCCAGGCTGGGGCCACGGACCGGCCTCAGCAGCTGGGGGCTGACTTCTTGGGGTTGCGTTCTGCCTCCCCCTCCCACACACGGCTCTTTGCCCTCTAGAGGCCAAGGGGCAATGGCAGGTTCACAGTGGCACTGCAAGGTTAGGGTTGTTGGGGGTTCTTAGGGAGCAGGGGCACCAGTCCTGCTGTGGCCCTGGCTGCCCCCACCTTGCCCAGGCTCCATGTGCACCCTCAGAGTCCCCCTGGCACAACCTTTCTTCTTCCCACGAGGAACACCCCCACTTCCACTTGGGCCTCTGCCAGGAAGGGTGGGAGCTCTGCCAAGGTGTCCCTCTGAGTGACCACCCTCAGCTGGAGCCACCAGCCAGGCCTCTGCACAGGAGCTGCCCCTGGGCCTTGTGTGTAAAATGGGGGTAATAACAGTATCTGCCTCATAAGGTTGCTGCAAGAATTAAATCAGTTCATACAAGTGAAAGACACTTAGAACCAGGATCCAGAGGCTTGCAAGGGGTGAGCTGGAGTAGCCATGGTAAGTATGGAGAGGGAGGTGAACTGATGGATATAAAATGGCCAAGGCAAAACATTTAAAAACAAAAACAATAACCAGCTGGGCTCGGTGGCTCATGCCTGTAATTTCAGTGCTTTGGGAGGCACAGCAGAAGCATCACTTGAGTCCAGGAGTTGGAGATCAATCTGGGCAACACAGTGAGACCACATCTCTAAAAAAAAAAATAATAATCACTAAGGCAAGAACCTAGTACACTGTAGGCATTCCCTAAGTGTTTACAATTTTTATTCCAATTATATAAAAATAAAATATATTTGAATAGAAACAGAACTCTAAAAGGCAATAACAAGTAATAGTAACTGATTATCTTTTAAAATACTATAAGGTAGGACTAGAACTGGTTTCCTTTTTTTTTGAGACGGAGTCTCGCTCAGCTGCCCAGGCTGGAGTGCAATGGAGTGATCTCAGCTCACTGCAACCTCTGCCTCCCGGGTTCAAGTGATTCTCCTCTCTCAGCCTCCCGAATAGCTGGGATTATAGGCACCTGCCACCATGCCTGGCTAATTTTCAAATTTTAGTACAGATGGGTTTTCACCATGTTGGCCAGGCTGGTCTTGAACTCCTGACCTCAGGGGATCCGCCTGCCTCAGCCTCCCAAATTGCTAGGATTTCAGGCATGAGCCACCACGCCTGGCCTTTTTTTTTTTTCTTTTTTATACCATTCTGTGATTTAAACTTTTCGATAATGCACATATATTAGTTTTATAATCAGGGAAGAAAAATCAATGTTTTCTTTAATGCTGAGTTTTGTTAATATTTCTGATATTTCACAAAACATCTTTTGTTGACATTCTACAAATGATACCATCCAATAATGTCCCAATACTTTCTTCTTGTGAAGAGAGTTTATATATCTGTAAAAATGAAAGACAAATTATGACTTGCTGATATCATCATTCACTACTAATTGTCATTATACAAACATGTGTAAGTGAAATTATTCCTCATTCAATTATTGGGTTCATAGTATAACAAACAACAAATGTGATTAAAATATTCCAAGTAGATGGCAATTCATTACTTGTATTCCCTTTAAATTGCTGCTATGGGGGTATCTCTCAAGAACATAAAAACCAAATTTCTATCCATTTAAAAGCACATATCTAGATATTAACTTCATATTAAATTTATTTTACATTTTAAATATACTATGTAAGTTTGATATTGAAAGGTATTCTCTTTCTTAATGTGGAGAATGGTTGTATCAGCTGAGTTTGTAATTATATTTTACATAAACCCACACCTCCCAGTTCTTTGTATCTAAAATTATTTTTTAGTAATTTAAAAAATTAGATTAACTTTCTCAAAAGTTCAAAAAACAAGGAGCCCTGGTGATCAATAAGCAAACAGTATCAGCATTATTGCTCATCTGTCACACTCTTTCTAAAAATATGGACTGGCAAACAAACCTTTTGGACTTCCGTAATATTTGTTATCTCAGGAAGACTTTTCAGAGAAACCTGATGACCTTCCACTTGAGATATTAGGTATTCTTGATTTATTTGTTTTTCTCCCTCTTCAATGTAAACAATTAGAATTGAAGTGTCATTTGCTGAGATACCAAATTTTTTCAAAGCCTCTGAAATCTAAGAGAAAAAAAATGAAAAAAAACAAACAAACAAAAAAAAACAAGATAATTAACCATTGTTTCCTATGTCTGAAACGTTTCCTGATCTGCCTTCTTCCTTGGTCAGGCTCTTATTTTTCATGTCCTAAAAGTTCTCACTGCTTAGTTTTTCACTTTGATGATTCCTTTCCAACATCCATTGGTACTTCCTCGAAAGTACTCCCTGCTTCAAGTTATGCCTTGTTCCTATGGAATCAAGCCCAGCCTCTTGGTGCTGCACAAAAAAACACCTCCTCCCTCTGGTGCCAAGTGGCTCTCCAGCCAGGCGCTTCTGCCACCTGGCCAGTCTGGCCTGCCTGGGGCTCCAGTCACATTTCATGCCCTTCTGCCTGTGCTCAAGCTTTGTCCTCTGCTCGCATGTCCCTTCTCCCCATGGCTTGGCTGCTGAACACATGCTTCAAGGTCCACATTTCTGATGCCACTCCCCACCACACCCTCCTCCCTCCAAAATGAATGGCTTCATTGCTGTACCCCTAGATTTGAATTCATTTTTCCATTATATCATTTATCTCAGGGCATTTTAACTTGTTTATCTGTCTCTCCTTGGGAACATATTTGCCTCTTCTGCCCCTAGAACTGCAAATGGAACAGGGAAAATTTCAACAGACGTTTACTGAATTCAAGAGTTTTCTGAATTATGTCTAATGATCTCAAGGAAACAATAATTAGTAAATTTTATTCCAAGTACTGGGAAACTCTATTACCATGCTGAGATAACTACATTTTATAAACTTTACAATCATCTGTATTTTAACCTATGCCACAGGTTTCGTAACTTTTCTCTAAATGAAATTAGTACCTGGTTGTTATTAATAGCAGCACTAATACTAAAAATTCATCAGCAAAATTGCAGTCATTTTTTTCATGTGCTACATGTGTGATGTCTTTGGCTTGATAACTTTCATTGAAAAAGCATTACTGGCCGGGCGTGGTGGCTCAAGCCTGTAATCCCAGCACTTTGGGAGGCCGAGACGGGCGGATCACGATGTCAGGAGATCGAGACCATCCTGGCTAACACGGTGAAACCCCGTCTCTACTAAAAATACAAAAAAAAGAAATTAGCCGGGCGTGGTGGCAGGCGCCTGTAGTTCCAGCTACTCCGGAGGCTGAGGTGGGAGAATGGCATGAACCTGGAAAGCGGAGCTTGCAGTGAGCCGAGGTTGCGCCACTGTACTCCAGCCTGGGCGACAGAGCAAGACTCCGTCTCAAAAAAAAAAAAAAAAAAAGGAAAAAGCGTTACTATAAGTATTTCAAACCACAAACTCTTCCTACATACTGGGTGTGTGAGCGAAGATGTGTTAAGGACTGTTATAGGTACCAGCAAGTTCCTGGTATATGAAAAAGACATGGATCCCACCCTCAAGGAGTTTACGGGAAGAGGGAAAGATATGCACGCTAGCACACAAAATATCCATGCCTAATGTTTTATCATTTAGATTTCTGTCAGTTTCTTAAGCAAAAATACTTGAGAGGTCTTCCTGATCCTATATGGTAAGAACAGATAAAATTAACCTCACTTAATTTAGCTAAATTTGTGTTTACTCATATGTAAACTGTCTTAGTAAGAGGCAGGGTAAACCTCAACTCTCTGTCCAGAGCTCTCTTCACTACTATTTTGGTTTATTACTAACCACTGGCTTGCCACTGGAGGAATTTAGCCTCCAACCCTGAGGAACACATATGTTATTATGACAAGGTCAACAGAAATAGGAAAGTCTACATTACATTGTTATTTGGGGAAAGGTTGAAAATAATTTCAGTAGATAGAGTTCTTGTCTTCATTTTTCCCAGTTTGTAGAGGTGAACTGCTTTGTTTGCTGCCACAAGTATCTGAAATGGATCGACAATCTACCAAAGAGAGCAGAAAGAATTAATTACACATAGAGAATCCGCAGTGCTTGAAAACACATGGTAACTCATGGTTAACTCCACTGTCAAGCTGGTTTACTTCATCACAATTCTTATGGTCTGTGTTTTCAAAACTATTATCCCAGCTAGGCGTGGTGGCTCACGCCTGTAATCCCAGCACTTTGGGAGGCCAAGGCGGGCGGGTCACCTGAGGTCAGGAGTTCAAGACCAGCCTGGCCAACACGGCGAAACTGTATCTCTACTAAAAATACAAAAATTAGGTGTGGTATCACGCACCTGTAATCCCAGCTACTCGGGAGGCTGAGGCAGGAGAATTGCTTGAACCCAGGAGGTGGAGGCTGCAGTGAGCCGAGATTGCACCATTGCACTCCAGCCTGGGCAACAAGAGTGAAACTCTGTCTCAAAACAAAAACAAAAACAAAAACAAAAACAAAACTATTATCCCAAGGGCCTGGGTAGTCAGAAAATCATAGAATTTTAAAGCTGCAAGGAACTTATGCAAATAGTAAAATTTTTTAAAATAACATTAATTGAGGGCTAATATTATGGGCATGATCATATTCCAAACATTTTACTTGTGTTATTTTCTTTAATCCTCAAAACTACCCTATGAAACTGATACTAGTAGTAGTAGTAGTAGTAGTATGTAATTGATGAGGAAATTGAGGCAAAGAATGTCTGAGTTTGAATCCCATCTCTGCCACCTATCACCTAGGGAACTTAGGCAAGTTCCTTAGCATTTTATTTGTTAGAGACACATGAAACAGTATTTACTACATAGGCTGTTGTGAAGATTAAGCGAGTTAGTATACGTAAAGCACTTGGAACAATACTAGGAATGCAGTAAGCACTATATAAAGGTTGGCTATGTCTTGTTCAAAGTCCTAAGTAGTAGGTCTGGGATTAATTCCCAGTAACATGATCCCACTGCCTGTG